CCCCTCTCTCTCTCTCTCTCTCTCTCTCTCTCTCTCTCTCTCTCTCTCTGTCTGCGTCATCCCCTCGCTATCTTTGTCTCTCTCTCTCTCTCTCCCTTCCAAGTGTGTGCCTGTTTCGATGACGGGATTCTGTTGTAGTCTTGGTCGCCTGCAACCCTGACATTGTGCTGTTCTATTTATAGCGCTTCGTCGGCGTAGCTAACGTTTCTCTCGTCGTTGGTGGATTTCCCCTCTTTTTTGGCTCTGCGCCGTCTGCGGACCCCATTTGTTTTGCTGTTATTGCGCTTGTGGGGGCGGGAAAGCTTTCTGATTTCTTTTTCGAATATCGAAGTGCACGAGATCTCTTCCTCTCTCCCTCTTTCTCCGCCTCTCTCTCTCTCTCTCTCTCTCTCTCTCTCTCTCTCTCTCTCTCTTCATCTCGCGGTTTTTTGTACTTGTTGGTGTTAATAGCGCTTGTGATTGCCTCCTTCGTTCCTGAAGATCGAGACCGTCGCTGCTGCAGGCGCCAGTCGCTGGGTCGGCGTTGGAGGAAGGTCACCAACGACGACCAGGGTATGCTGTTGGTGGCTTGAGCGGTCGGCGGGTGCGCGCGTGCGGAAGTCGACCGTTCGGCGACCGGTCGGCTTTTGGTGACTTTTGGCGGGGCAAGCCGTCAGCTTTTGGGGGTGGACGACCGGTCGTTCGTGGCGCTCGCGTTGTCGGCGGCGGGGCACGTCGATCAGGTCGGCTATTGGTTGGTGGCTTTTGGTCGGTCGGCGACCTATCGTCGGTGGTTGCGTTCTCGGAGACGGGGGATAGGTCGGTTTTTGGCGGCTTGACCGGTCGGCGACCGACCGTTATTGCGTTTGCGTGATCGGCGGCGAGGACGTCGATAAGCGAGCAGGAGGAGAGGTCAGCTGCTGGCGGCTTTTGGCAGGTCGGGGACCGAGCGTAGGTTGCGCTTGCCTTCTCGGGGCCGGTGTGGAGTGTCTCTGTGTGTGTTTAGTTAAGAATGATCGCAGGTCATCAGCAACTAGTCGCGCCTGGAACGGTGTGGTGGGCTGCAGCCGCTCTGATTAGCGTGTTTTCCATCAGCACGATGATGTTTGGTTGCGTGTCTTTCGGCTGGCGGAAGAAGAACCGCCACGTGCAAGAGGATGACCAGCCTTTCCCGCGCCTGCGCAAGCGCGCGGAAATCACGGGGCAGTCGGACCTGGAGGCCGGGCAGCAGCTGCGCCCCCAGGTGAGCGCAAAGATGGGCGCTTACGACCCCATACGCCGCGGAAACCGACTGTTGGAAGGGGGGAGGACCTCTCCGGCACTGCCACGTGGCACCTATCTACTCAAGGACAGCGGGGGAGGAGGAGACAGAGCCAAGCCCCACGTTATCGCCAGTCGCACCGCGGCTGCCATCGACGGCCTGAAGCGGATCTCTAAACTCGAATTGCGTTATCATGATGTCATCAAAGCGACCAACAACTTCGATCCCAAGAGGCTGATCGGCCGGGGGGGATTCGGGTCGGTCTACAAGGGTGTGCTGCTCAACGGGCGGGTCGTCGCCGTCAAGCGAATGGATCGTGGCAATCATCATCTACACAGCATTCGGCAGATGGGAGGTGCTGATCGGCTGCTGCCAGATCAGCTCCTTTCGGAGCTGGAGGTTCTGGCCCGAGTCCAGAGCAAACACTTAGTCAATCTTGTTGGCTACGCGATAGGTGTGGGAGCGGGCGCGGGGGAGGACGACGCTGCATCGGCCATAGCCGCAGCCGCGGGGGAAAGAAAAAGCGAGCTCGTTCTCGTCTACGATTACATGCCTAACGGCTCTTTGTACGGTCACTTGCACGGCAAACACGCCGGCAATAACAGTCTGAACTGGACCACCAGACTCAAGATCGCCCTAGATGTCGCCCAGGGGATTAATTACCTCCACCATATCTGCAAACCTCCCATCATCCACCGCGACATCAAGGCGGGAAACGTGCTTCTCAACAAGGAGTTCGTCGCCTGTGTTGCAGATTTCGGTCTTTCGAAGCTACTGGGCCACACGGAGATCGGACCCGATGGTCAAGCTCACGTGACGGACATGAGCAACGACGTGAAGGGCACGTTTGGCTACGTGGACCCCACCTACATCCTGACACGTCAGATCGCGCCGAAGAGTGACGTGTACAGCTATGGCATCCTCTTGCTGGAGTTGCTGACGGGGAGAAAGCCGCTCGATCAACTCACGCTTCCGATATCCGACGATGAGGAGGACGGGCCGGGGCGTCGGGTGGACGCTAGGGTCGGCTTGGCGGAGTGGGCGGTCTCCAGGATCGCCAAGGAGAAGGTGGATGAAATCATGGATCCGAAACTGGGGAGGCAATACGACAAGGAGGTGGCGCAGAGAGTGGGGGAGCTGGCGGTGTCTTGCGTGAATCCCGATCGGGAGTTGCGACCGGCCATGGCGCGGGTGGTGGCCATTCTCTCTCAGCTGATCAACTCCATGAGCAATCCGCACAACAACAGCAGCGGGGGGGCCAGGGGGGAAGGCGCGGCAGCTGCTGCGGGAGAGGTAGGTGGTGGGGGGGCGGAGGAGGACGCGGCCGGGAGGAAGCATCAGGCGCGCGGGGCAGCGGCGGACGGTCCGCCATTGGCGATTATGCCGCCGCCGCCTGCTGCGCCGCCCTCGCCGACATCGCCGGCAGCGGGTGCGAAAGCGCCGCCGGCGGGTTTGTCGGCAGGAGCTATAACAAGTAGCCCGGCGACGAAAGCCGCCGCCGCAGCTGCGGAGGCGGCGGAGCCGCGAGCGGCGCCCGCGGGTGCCGGGGAGGGTTCGGACGAAGACCCCTCAGCCGACAGGATGACCGGAAAGGTGGCAGTCGTTGTGCAATCTTCGGACGACGGCCAGGCAGGTCCCGGCGCAGGCGGTCGGGATCAGCGGACCAGTTTGACGCCCGTCGCGGTCGGGGTCGCCCACAGCGTGCATCCCGTCCATGCGCGGAAGGTCTTTGCGGTTCCGACCGATACTGCTGGTGCTGGTGGCGGCGCTGCCACGTCAGCAGGTGCTTCGCCTCGTGCTGATGTGGGTGCCATCGGCGAGTCCCGATCCTCGTCAGTCCCTGCCGTCGCGGTCAAACAACACAAGGACCAAGGTGGAGAGAGGGGAGGAGGATCAGGAGGAGGGGATGCCATCCGCCGACGGAGTCTGGATAAGACAGCAACTACCGAGTCCAGCACCGTGTCTCATCAGCGCAGGAGCGAAGATGGGGGAGGAGGGGATTGTGTGGTAGACCGACATTACTTGGAGCCCTCAACAACACTTTCAGCGGCAGCAACAGCAGCAGCAGCAGGAGCGGGAGTAGCAGGAGGAGGGGGGAAGCCTCGACGAGGCGGCGATCCTGCAAATCAGATAGAGGACAAGATTCTGGCGGGGTCTTCTTCGTCGTTGTCAACAGCGTCGACTATATCTAGCTTTTCGAATGATGAAGAGGCAAGCTACCCTGCAGCGACAGCCACGTCTGCTGTTCGTCCGCGAGAAGCCGCTCCTCAGGGGTTGGCCGGCGAAGACTCCTCTGGAAGCAGCGATGGCGAATCTTCTGGTCCGTATAAGAATGGCAAGGACCGGTCGCACGATGAGGAGGGTGCAGGGGGGGGTGGAGGTTATCTCCCGTCGCCCTCCAAGGAGGAGGGAGGACAATCGACTCTTAAAACGCACAAGCTGGGCCATCCTACCGCGAATGACGAGGCAGACAAACCTGCTAAGGTAAGTAATCCTGTGCTGAATCCGGTGTCAGCGGAGAAACAAGTGCCTGCGCAGCCGCAGCCGCCGCCGCAGCAGCAGCAAGACCGAGTTGTGAATGGAGAGGTGATGGGAAACATGGTTGTGGGAGAGACTTAGGCAGATGTCGGTGGGAACTTCGTAAAGACGGAAATTGTCAACAGAGACATGGAGCAGACACGCTTGTCAGATGTTTCCCGATGCTGATTTTTTTTTTATCTGTAAATACCTATATAGGTCGATAACGCCACTTGTGCCGGAGGGAGTAGGTTGTCCTTCTCCCTCCTGCCTCTGCTTGTGAGAAGGACGCTACTTGTGCCGGCGGTCGTGTTTGCCTGCTGGTTTGCTCTGGGTTCGTTGGGAAAGGGGCAAGGGGGAGTGCAGAGAGAGAGAGAGAGAGAGAGAGAGAGAGAGAGAGAGAGAGAGAGAGAGATGCAGAGGAGATTGGGAATCATTGGCATGTAATAGGATGCAGTCGTCGTCTAGATGCTCACTCATTCCATAATGAGGAGAGAGAGAGAGAGAGGGGGTGAGTTTTTTTTCAGTCGCTGAAAGGAGTGCTGGGGTAGCATGTGAACTGTTGTGTCCGCCTGTGCCGATGTTTGCTTCCGTTTTGCCCCTTCTCCCCCTCTAGGCTTGCTTTCTTAGACGCTTGGTGGGTTCGTCCTTAACGTCCGGCGTTCATCTTATCTGGGTTCTCGACCCTCGATCACCCGATCGATAGTGTGTTAATAATGGATCCCGAATCCCGATCTACTTTTCTTTCTCTGTTTGCAGTAGACGTGATTCGACACGTGATCTGACAGGATCATGGTCCGACGAGGCTTTCAATGTTTTATTGATTTTCCTTCATTCATCCAACTGCTGCGGGTCACCGCATTCGTTGTGTCTAGTTTGTTTTCTTGTGTATGCCCGCGTCGCCGTGTTTTCTCAATTGCAGTTGCACAAGTGTGGTCGTTGTGGGTATCGAGTGATCAGTGATGAAGTTTTTTGTCCTTTCTGGGTTTTTTATTTTTTATTTTTTTATTTTATTTTTTATCGGTTTCTCTTGGTTTTTGTTTTCTTCGAACATTCAGTTCGTTTGTGGTTGTTGTTGTTGTTGTTGTTGTTGTTGTTGTTTTTCTCAAAGTTGAACTTCAAATTACTCAATAACATTCGGAGGCCGGGGTCCTCCACTGTTGTTGTTGTTTCTGTGTGGTGGTGGTGGTACCTTTTTGTTTTGTTTTGTTTTGTTTGTGAAAGCTATGTTCTTCTCTCAATTTCGCCTCACACTACGGACCTCGCCACACCTATCTCCAAAACAGCTATTTGGAGAGAAAAGGCATCGCCACACCAACTCCTGAAAATCGCAGTCAGAAAGAATTTGGAGAGCTGTCAGAATGCTGTTCTCGGGAGTGCTCTCAACTGTGTGCCAAAGCACCAGATTTGAGGAGTGGTCCGAGGCTCCTCCGATGGAGCCTCGCCACACCTATCCCGAAAACGCAAAAACGTTTGAGAGCACTCCCGAATGCCGGAGATGTGAAAAAACCTTTCGAGAGGGCTCGTCGCCACACTGCGCTCTCCAAGGCGGCAGTCTCCAATTCGTCAGACGAGGCCCGACATTTTTTGGAGAGCGCAGACGACGGGTCTCACCACACCACTCAAGAAATGTGCAAAATGAGAATGAACTTCCCACTAGAACATGGCCAGATGCACCCTCCACATTTGTCTTTTTCACATTTCGAGAGTGGTGTGGCGAACCCAGACAAAACGGTGGCAACAGATGGTTGTCGGCCAAGGCGCACTCTCCAGTTCGGAGGAGCCTCGGACCACTCCTCAAATCCGGTGCTTTGCAGGCGGGGCGATCCACAAAGTTCGAGAGCACTCCCGAGAACCGCGTTCTGACCGCTCTCCAAATTCTTTCTGACTGCGATTTCGGGAGTTGGTGTGGCGATGCCACTTCTCTCCAAATTGCTGTTTTGGAGATAGGTGTGGCGAGGCCCCATTTCGGCCCCAAACTGGAGAGTGCGCCTCGGCTGACAACCATCTGTTGCCACCTTTTTGTCTGGGTTTGCCACACCACTCTCGAAGTGTGGAAAAGACAAAAATGTGGTGGGTGCATCTGGCCATGTTCTAGCGGGAAGTTCATTCTCATTTTGCACATTTCGTCGTCTGCGCTCTCCAAAAAATGTCAGGCCTCGTCTGACGAATTGGAGAATGCCGCCTTGGAGAGCTTAGTGTGGCGATAAGCCCTCTTGAAAGGTTTTTATATATCTCCCGTGTTCGGGAGTGCTCCCAAACTTTTTTGCGGTTTCGGGATAGGTGTGGCGAGGCCCTACCTACCTACCACTAATCCTAATTGTAGGCATACGGGGAACCCGGTGGTACCATTTCGCAATTTGTGCGTGTCATCCTTGCACCGGTGACCTTTTTGTTATTTTTGAAAGGGCGACAGCCTTGACCGGGGGCCAAGTCCCACTAGCAGTGTTGAACTACCTGAATGCCTGATCTGGACATGTTTGTGGAGACGTGCAGTTCAGAAAACTCAACACCATTTCTGCACATCTCGGCAAAAGCGTCCAGATTCCGGCATTGAGGTAGCTCAACGCTGCTAGTGGGACTTGGCCCTGGCCCCAGGGCTATGGTCCCACTAGGGAAGGGGATAGGATAGAAATCCTGAATCTGGCTATATTGTATTGCAGAGATACAGAAAAGCAGTTCTTTCTCGATTTCCTGCTCCTGTCCTCAAACACGTCCAGATTCAGTCATTTAATCCGATGCTCTTTGCTAATGGGACCACGGCCCAGGTAAATCCTGAGGGCCTCGCCACACCAATGTCCAAACTGGAGTTTTAGACATTTTTTTGTCTTTGCCACGCACAGAGGGCATCGCCACACCACTGTCCAAATGTGCAAAATCAGAATGAACTTCCCAGTACAACATGGCCAGGTGCACCGGCCACAATTTTGTCTTTTTTACACTGCCAGATTGGTGTGGCCACGCCCACACTGTAGAAGGAAAAATGTCCAAAACACTTCGACAGTAGTCAGAGAGCAAGTCTTTTTTTTTTTTTTTTTTTTTTTTTTAAGCCCAACCAATTCAATTACCTGTCAAATCTGGACAGGAYGGCCTYTCAGGCCTTTTTTATTGTCATTATAGTATTACGGGGAACCCCGTAGCAGCCACATCCGTGCTCAAGCCTCCAATGAGGGAACATGCGGGAGCTGCACCAACCAGCAGGTGTGATACCTGCTACAGCAGGTGGGCGATACCGGCTAGGGGTCAGCCGGTAGTGTCAGGACCGAGCTTCTTCGATGGGCCAGTCACTGTGCCTCCCCTCCGGTCCCCTCCCCCTATGAACATCAGCAGTCTCTGCTCAATGCCACTGGGGGGGACCAACGGCATATCTCTAGGTGGCAGGCGCCAAGCTTGCCCAGGAAGGTACATGAGGCCAATGGGGATTGAAACCAGGACCTCCTGAATGCCACTTGCGCGCCTTACCAACTGAGCTAGGCCGCTGACCAGAGAGCAAGTCTAATGTCTATGGGCCTCGCCCCACCACTGTCGAAAATGTGATTTTCGACAGTTCCTCTTCGCCACACAGGCTGTCGAAGTTGGAGACGAGAAGAAAATTTGCAAGTTGTCAGAGAATGCTTCTCGACACCTCCTGTCGAAAGTCGTTGAATCCCCAGCCTGCTACTCCGATGCTTTCGACACTCCTCGGCTGCGCCGTCGACTTCGCTTCGAAATTTGATGAGTAGGGGTAAGGTCGGGATGGACTGATGCTTGTCGTACCCGTTCGTCTTTTTCCATCTTGCTTTCACAAGTGCGTGCACTCTACAGTGCTGTGTGGCGAAAGGGGGGCAAACTGTCGAATGGAGGCTGTCGAATTTGTTCTGACAGCCGTCGAATGTTTTGGCCTTTCGACTGTGGTGTGGCGAGGCCCTATGCATCTTGCCACACCACTCTTGAAACCGCATTTTCTAGAGTTGGACGCGTCCCCACACAGCCACTTGAGAGTTGTAGCCCGAAAACTCTTTCCAGAGTTGTCAGAACCTCCTTTCAAGAGTAGCACTAGAAACTCCGAAACGCCCAGCCTGCACCACCGCTGTTTTCAAGAGTCCTAAGGGCCCTTGATTTTTGAGAGGTGTCAGGCCGTTATCCTGACGCCATTCAGAAAAAACAAAGTTGTAGGACTGTCGTTTTTCATCGTTTGTCCAGCACCATCGCCCTTTTCGAGAGTGCTGTGTGGGGAGGGGCCCGAAACTCTTGAAAACCCAACTCTTGAGAACCTCCGACAGGTCTTGAAAAATTTCCCCGTTTCAAGAGTGGTGTGGCGAGGCCCTATCTCTGCTCCACGAGGCATCCTTACTAATTTGTAGGGGCCCTTTAAAAAAAAAAACAAAAAAAAACAAATAATAATAATAATAATAATAATAATAATAATAATAATAATAATAATAAATAATAAAAAATAATAATAAATAATAATAATAATAATAAAAAATAATAATAATAATAATAATAAATAATAATAAATAATAATAATAATAAAAAAGACAATAGTCAGAGAAGTGGTGTTTTTTTTTTTTTTTTTTTTTTTTTTGAGAAGTTGTTGCATTATATTTCAAAAAGTGGTCGAGGCTGGGGACCTCTCAATTCTACCCGGTGTTGCCAAAAAAGGTATCCTGCTGGACATCGGGTCCAGTGTCCCAAGACGACTCAGCTTCGACAGAAAGTAAACCCCTTAAAAAGACCTTGAAGCGCAGTAAAAAAAGTGGCTGGACTAAGATATATCAATCACTCTCTTATCCTTCAGCCTATAATAGTCTATGGTTAGACTGAATTTCAATTAAGACCCTGTAAACCTTCAGTTGGGCAAAACCTGCCCTTCCCTGTCAAAATGACTCTGCCTAACAAACAAGCGGCAGCTAATCCAAAGGAACCCCTGGTTTCTACTCATCCAGTTTGTTGCACCTGGGGTACTGTCTAATCTAAATTTAATTTAACTGAATTAGTCATGCGAATCAGACAGCCAGGAACAGAGTGAAAAATGACCTTCAGTATTTTTTGGACTATCGCTAGTCTGTTCTTGCACGCCCAGGTTCCTTGGAACCGTAGAATATTTTCCCTGTGTCAATCTGCTTGCACTACTCTCCTTATTCCTTGTTTGATCAACTTGTGCTGTTGGATTGGACTTGCCGCAAGTCTTCGCTTTGGAAGACCCTTGCGTTCCTGCCTGTCCATATAACTTCCATAATGATCATGCCCCTGCAGCAAAGAGCCACATAGCGGGAGGTCCTGGAGTAAGGCAAGTTAGCAGGTAAAAGTCCAGTACGCATCCATTGGTCCGTCCAGTCAAAGGTATGCAGTGTGCGACTAGTAAATCCCAAATTAATGTCTATTCCATCATCTCAGTAGTTCATCCACCAATGGACAGCAGAGCCAGAGGTGGGCCGCATTTTCCCAACCCCAGTTACATCGTAGGCATTGTGTGGAGACTTCCATTCCTCTACCTGATAGCCACATAGCTGTTGCTGTAACCATTAAAGATTGCAGCCACATTATGCTGGCCTGCTTCTGAACGGGGGAATTTCATTAGCACCTGCCACAGCTTCCGTAGGCCTTGCTCTGTGCATCCTGTTGGCTGTTGAGCATCTGCTCGTCCTAAAGCCAGCGTCAGTGGTTTTTTCTTCACTCTCTCCTGTTGCAGCTGTACTCCTATTTTAGGGCGGTATTGGTAGAGGGGCACGTATTTGCCCTGATCTATCGGACATTCCCATCCCATCAATAGCGGTTCGACTCTGAACGAGGTCGC